AATTCAAGCCTAATTCTACCACTGACCTCCAAATTATATTCCAGACACACTCCTAAGTCTAAAATCACCCAATGAAGCTTATCGAATCATAAAAATCCAAATCTGAATTCTTTTACTCATAAGTCAACTTCCGATTGACTTTTCTAACTTAGCTTTCTGACTAAGAGACTAAGTGTTCATTTCACTACAAAACTACTCCGAACCCAAACCTACCAACTCGATACAACTCAACACTGCTGAACCACACATAAATAAGCATAGATGGGAGAAACGGGGCTATAACTCTCAAAACGACTGACCGGGTCGTTACAGACAAGTGGTAGTTAAGTATTTTGTTGGCTATATATAACTATGCCCTGTTATCTATTGATGATCTTATTATCTATTGATTGTGAAAATTGTTGTATTGATGTTGTTTATTTTCGAATATGCATAACATACTGTTGGTTCTTGTGGCAGTACTTTAGTTCAATGAGCATAACATGCCAATAAAAATAGAAATGAAAACTAGAAATTCATTAAAAATGGAAATACAAAAATACAGACAACTACAAAGACAACTGCAAATTTAACCTAACTAAAAGCTGCAAATTCCCTTCATTAAATAACTATGCCAACAATCTGCAATTTGGTAAGCCATAATATCATAACCCTTACTAAGCAAAACAACTTCTCTACATCATCTTGCAGATTTTGTAAGCTAGAAGGACCAACAGATTCCTATGGTCACCATATTTGGACACTACTAACCAAAACACAACTTCTCTACATCATTTTGTAAGCCACAAATATAACAAAAACAACCCATGACCATATTATAAACTTTTTTCATTGCTTGAATTTCAACTCCAATTTTGAAATTTTCTCCTCCAACGCAGATACATTTCAAATTTCCAGCTTTACTACCCACCATATCATCGACCATCTTCTTAAACTTATTCCTTTCTTGACGAAGAGCATCCACTGTAATTTTTTGCTTGTGGATAAACATTGATACATGAGGTGGAAGTTCTTCATCGCGCCATTCCCAATAACGACAACCATTACTCTCGAAACGAGGATATTTATAGAATCTACGACCACCATTCATAGGTGTCGTAGAAGTAAATGATTGGATATCAGTCCACAATAACAAGCACGAGTATCACCTGGATCACGAGAAGAAATAGAAGAAGATTCTGCCATTTGAAGCTTAAAAAGAAATGAACTCCAATTTATCAAAGATTTCGAGTTAAAAGATTGGAGATGAGAGATGAGAGAGGAGAGAAGTTGCTGAAATTTGGAGATGAAGTGGGTGAAAAATGACCTAAGGTCGGGTGTTTTAGGGGGGGGGGGTTTAAAACAAGGTTTGCTGGATCGGGTCGGTATATTTAGATTATGGGTGGGGTAAAATCAGATTTGGGGTATGACTTAATTAATAGCCAATCAGATATGGCCACGTGGAATTAATAAAATATTTAAATAAATCACAACTCACCCGTTAGAATTAAGGGCACAAATATGCCAGATTTTTAACGGTAGGGTCATTCTTAGCGAAATAGGTTAACGAGGGGCATTTCTAGACTAGAGTTGATACGTTAGGGGGCAGGTCTGGCCCTTTTCCGCAGCATCAATAAACCTAAGGAAGCTATGAACATAGATGAGGAAATCAACACCTCAACAACCAACACAAACAAGGTAAGTTTCTGTGACACTCTCTCGCCTCCTCCCCACCAATCAACCCCACCCTAGAAGCAGAATTCTTGAAGAAATTATCCCTAGAAGAAGAAAACTCCAATCCAACCAGACATCCCTTTTTCATACCCATATCCACAAATGACAAACTAAGGCTATACCGTCCTTGGAAACAAGCCATTATTATTAAACTACTAGGTAAAAAAATGTCCTATACAAACCTTAAGACCAAATTAAACTCACTCTGGCAACTAAATGAAGAACTTCAGTTAATAGACCTAGGTTATGATTTCTATCTCATCAAATTTCAAAAAATAGATAACTATAACAAAATATATCATAATGGATCTTGGTTCGTAGGGTCTCAATACCTCTCCATACGCCAATGGAAACCCAAATTCAACCCAACACTATCACACACAAATTACACCAATGTGTGGATCCATCTTCAGGAACTACCCACTGAATACTATGACTTACAAATCCTCAAAAAATAGCAAATTTCATTGGCACGCTCATAAAAGTAGACACATGCACAGAACATACATCAAGAGGCCGATATGCCATACTTTGCATCTTAGCACCACTAGGCAAAACCCTTCCATCCGAAATTTTATTAGGGACTCACACTCAATTAATACACTATGAGGATTCTTCTATTATATGTACAAAATGTGGTTGTCTAGGACACAACCTTCATTACTGTCCGAACTCTACAACCCCTTCAACCTCGAATCAACCTCATAATAATCCAAATGTAACCACTAACGAAGATGAGCAACAAACACAATGGAAAACAGTCTCATATGGCAAAAACAAAGGCAAAAACAAAATGAAAGATCATCAATTACCCATGTTCAAGAATCAAAACCACCAAAACCCTCCCAATACCACCCCCAAAGACACAATAAACCCAAACGGGCCCCATGACACTAAAAAACAAGCCAATATCCCCAACCTACAAGACCAAATTGACCTATCAAAACAAAAACCTACCCTTGATCCACCCAATACTGCCAATACAAAGGCCAAATCCACCCAACCCCACCCAATACCACCTATACCACAATCTGACAACCCTAACCAAAACTACTCTAAATTACCAACCTCTTACAATCATTTCCCAATACCCATGCCCCTCTGATAACCTAGGAGAGACAAATCATTACCCTAAATCACCTCCCCTACATCCTCTTATTCGTAAAGCTTTGTCCGAGCATACCTCAAAAATAAAACAACAACAAGAAATAACCAATAGTGGACATCATGAATCCTCCAACCTAAGCCCGACCTCACACATGCATTTGCATGACCAAAACTCACTAAGCACAAATAAGACAAGTGAATAAAAAATGCCCATGCAAATAATTATAAACTCTACCATACCTCCCTTACCCCAAAACATCAATCTTACTTCCCACGCTCCACCTCACTTGCTACACTCCATTGCCCCATCATCATCACTACCTAAATAACCACCACCCAACACTCCTTCTACAGAACCTACAATACCACAAACACACGGTAATCCATTGCATGAATCTTACACTAGATCATTAACCAATAGTTTCCCCCTCAATCAATTGATGAAATTACACCCACTACATCCCCAACGATCCTTTCAAATATCACCCCATCAAACCCCCAACATTTCAAGCCACTATCACAATTCTAAAACCATCTCCTACTTCTCATTGCACTACCAATAACCACCATGCATCGTTCAAACAATCACATGAACCACCACTACCAATTCCGGCACCGGAGATATATCAACAGCATCCAAATCAATCACCACCACCACCACCTTCTCCTCCCCCCTCCTTCACCCCCCACATCACTTAATCATCCAACACCAACCAAACCATGCACACCAAAGGCCCTCACTACACCCCCACAATACCTCTTATACACCACCATCCAACTATTCCTCCACAACAAATACCACCACCACACCAATTTCTACCAATAAACCTGCAATTACTACAAAATCATGTCACACTCCTCTTGGAAACATCAGAAGAAATGGCCTTCACAGTGCAAGAGGGAGCTCCAAACTAAGCACAACAAGACCAAATCTTAAACCTGATTCACCAACAAGATATCACCCTATGGCAAATGTAGGAGATCATCAATCATTACCAACAATGGCAAGCACATGCACTCCACCATCCCATCTTCTTGAATACACACCCACAGATCAACTCCTCACCATGGTCACTCCATCAACAACCATTAGCATCTGCTCAACCACCAATGTCAACACAGATGCAACACCAAGTGATCAATAATCACATTACCAACTCTCGACCTACTTCTCCACAGCAGGAGAATCAACATCAAGCAGAAGAAGGCAACGACCTGTCAGAGACCTTCATGGAATCAATGATTTTGAACGACACCCTGACGATCTCCATGTCAGAAAATATAAAAAAAATACCTCATTTTCATCCCTCCAAACCTCCAGAAAACTTTCTTGAACATACGTCTAGATCCCTTATCTTTGGAAGAGAAGTATGTGATTCTCATGATTCCAACACTTCAAGACAATCTGCTACCAGTTGCTCTTTACAACCCTCCATACCTATTAATGCATTTGGAACTTTCACTAGCACCGGAAAGGAGCACCCCACATCATGAAGAATTAATGAACATAATAATTTGGAATTGTCGGGGAGCTTACAATCAAGAATTCCGCCGGAACCTTAGATTCCTGCTCACATGGAATAATCCTTCCATTCTATGCCTTATAGAAACAAGGATGGTAGACCACACTGATCTCCTCATGGAATTCAGCTGCACTGATCTAATCCAAGTTGCAGCACAAGGTCATTCTGGAGGAATTGTACTTTTATGGCGAGCCCACGATTTGGTGGTCAACCCAGTGCCAGTTACAAGCCAAGAGATTCATGCTTCTGTAGATGTCAATGATCCAAGAACCAACCGCCCAACAACTTAGCATTTTGATGCCATTGACATTACTACTATTAGGATTCTGTATTTTGAAGGAAACTCCCCCCCCACCCCCCCC